AAAAAAAAAAAAAAAAAAAAAAAAAAAAAAAAAAATAGCACTGATTATAGCATATTTCAAAAGCTTGGTCTGGTTTGGGATCACTGATAAGAATCTGTTTAAGAGGTAAGTCAATGTATTTAAATCATTCTATCCCATTTATAAAAAGGAGTTTTAATCAAGTGATTGCTTTGGAAGTGACTGAGTAACCTGATCCCAAAAAAAAGTTTGTTTAAGTCATAACTCCTGTAACATAACATCCCCAGTAATAGAACTCAAATCAGAGGAAGGACCCAAGTCTAATGGATTTTGCTCTTTGGGTCCCCACATCTAGGGTAAATCTCAAGCAAGATCTTTACGTGATACAAATGAGACAGTGGAAAGCTAGCCAGAATGGAAGTGGATGGCTGGATTTTACACCAGGACTGGGTGTTACGTAAGACTAAGTCCAGATCTGTGTAGCTTTAACACAAGAAAAACATCAATTATGCAAAGAAAAGATTGGGGCATGTTATCCTTGAGAGAAGGAAGTTTAGAAAACAAAGCAGTTTTGAAAATGTTGTAAATCACTAGTCAGAAATCACTGGGTTTATTATATGATGATCAGCTAACAGATTATTAAAGGTAGCATTAATTTTTATGGGGCATGCTTGTTTTCATCAGAAATTTTGAGTTACTGTCACAAAAATGTGCCTGAACTCTTCAGGAATTACTAAATAGAATACTTATTTGGTACTCACAATTTTGGATACACTGGTGTTATCTGTTTGACCAGTCCATGTGTGGAAAGGTGTATTTGGTCTGGGATACATTTGCTTTTAGCAAATTGCTTTTATGTTTTATTTTTTAGCATTTGCTTTTATTTGGTCTGGGATACATTTGCTTTAAAGTTGACAAGATAGTTCTTTCCAAATGAGGCCATGATTACTTCCTTCAGAAGAAAGTTGATTCTGAAAAACCATGATTTTTTGATTCAGGACTGAAGAGCAGTACTTTTCTTTTTAAAAAGTTAATCTAATATTCAATCATCTTTTCCAGAAATGATCACTTATGTATCACTGTTGTCATGGGCGTGAATCTTAATTTTAAGATTTAGCCTATATTTTAAAAGACATCAGTAGAGCGTCCTCTGAGAGGAAGTTGTAGGCACACAGTTGCCATTACTGGTGTGAAAACTCAAAATAGAAATTGACTAATTATCAGGGGAAGTCATGTCAAATACAGTAATCTCCTGAATAATTACATGTTTTCAAGAAACACATTTTTACCTGCAACAAAGAATGTTACCATCCTCCAAAGGCCTCAGAGTCTCTTGTTACAGATGTCCATGAGTTACTGTGCCTGGAAAGTGACAGGACTGGAAGACTCAACGTGAGTGAGTGCTGTGGTCTGAATGATTTGCATTTCCCATACCTCAACATACAGAGAGAAGCCTGTACTTGTTATGTCTGCCCCGAGGCTGGGAACAAAGAGTGGGCACCATAGAAATGACTAGACTCAAAGATTTCTAGTTAAAGGATCAGGGTTATCTATTAAATGTCAATGAAACCTAGAGCACTTACCATTCCTGAGGTCTAACCCCTACTTCATATTGAGCAAGTAAGAATTTGCTTAAATAACAGTCCAAATGGAAATGCCTATTTTATATTTGTTCTGTTTTGTTGTATCTCCTGCTTTTGTAGTTGTGACTTAAGTACCTTAACTAGGAGAGAGCGAGGAGGAAATTCTAGACTACTTTCTTACACTGCAAACTTTTTCAACCACTTCTAAACACTGAGAAAACTCTGTACGTCAGCCTCCTTCCATCTTTTCTCTCCCTCCTTCCTGCCCTCCTCCTTCCTCTCTCTCTCTCTCTTTGTCCTCTCTCTCTCTCTCACCCCCACCCACTCCCCCTGACACTGGAAATCTAAC